GAGCTGGCCGTATTTATTTATTATTATTTTTTTTCTCTTTGTACCGTACTCGGGACTCGTGTATGTGCATGAGCTTATGCATCAGGAGAGCGGGGCAAAGAGATAAAGGGACATCCTCTGCTCTCCACGAGCTCTGTAATGAGATGTAGATTGCCGACAAAATGTCAAATACCAAGCCTCTTCCGTGCATGGCACAATGTTTTTCAGCCGTGCCATCCTGCTCTCCGAGAGATGCTGCTGGATTTAATTTCAACGGATTCAACGAGATTCCTCCAGCAGCGGGGCTACTCCTGTCTTTTTCTACTAGTGCCCCAGGCCCTTTTTAGATTATGTATACCTAATTGATATCGAATTAATGAATTCTCGAGTTGTTTTTTTTTTTTTCGTTCAACAATGAAACTCATTTTGTGTTTTTCAATCGTACTGCATGCGTACACTGATTGCTAAACCAGTGCAAGTGCACTTGAGTACAAAAATACATACTATATTGAGCTTAATTTCCCTCCCTCTCGTCACTCATTCGCTATTCATTAATCACGAGAATCGATTTCCCGTACTCGCTTCGATACATTGCACATACACACACACACACACAAAATATAATTATAGGTAATACTCGGCGTGTGTGGAAGTAATACGTGAAGGCCACAAAGTAACCTACGTATCGCTCTACACCAAGCAAATTCAATACACAATCCGTTGAAATTTTTACATGAAGAGGTTCGCTGTAGAAGTTCAGAGTACAGACAGAGAAAAAAGAAATTCCATCACTTGGTTTCCAACTGGAATCTTCATTTTAACGTGGCACGTTTCAGCCAAATACGAACGAAAGACATTGTAGAGAAATATGTCTAATATATTTAGTAAAGCCATTTTTTGCTGAATATCGAAGTATGAGTAGAAAATGTATGATAATGATATTTATTATTGTTATAATTAATATTGTTATAAAGACATTCAGAGGAATCAATTATCTGCGATATAAAAATTGGGTCGGCTTCTCGAAGGTAGGGAAAAAAGGAAAGGTAAAAGAAAGAGCACCACGTAATGCGCTTGGCTTCGAAAGCAAACTCTCCGCAGGAAATTGCTCGATTCCCCGGCGTAGCCGAGCAAACGGGGGCTGTTCAATTAGCGCCGACATTTGCAACTCGAGGCAGGCGATTTCAATCATAAGCTTGCGCCAGTATATAGGTAGATTGGAGGTATCCCAACACCACAATAATGTAATACACCTGCGTAAAATTTGAAGATTCGCAAACCAAGGTAGAACCCAATAGGCTTTGCTGCTGCTGCTACTGAATCGGTCGATACCGTACAGATTATAGAGCAGTGGCCCTTCTGAAAAAAAGAGAAAACATACCCCACCCGTCTTTGTAGTTTGTAGGAAAGTAAGGCCTTAGGTTGCGTTGAAAAGCTGCTTTCGCAGTGAATCCACTAAGCACCTCAAGTAGTAGTTACAGGTACCTGTAATATTCATTGAGCCATCATTTAACTCACCAAGTGATTACTATATATATGTATACATATATGTACTCATCAGACGTTTTACTCTTTTTCTGCAAATTTTTGATTACTGCAACCTTTCTTTTGTTTTGCAGTGTAAAGTGCAACGTGAAGAGAAATAGATAAATAAACTTACATATATATATACTATCAATTGATATCATTGGTGATCATCCAAAGTAATGTATCATCTTATCATCGGTTTGTAGTCAACTGTAAAAAAAAATACTCGAGTAAGCCGCTTATACATCATCTACAGAATAGAGCCATCGGAAGAATAATATCGAAAAGTAGTGGATTGAAAATCAATTGCCTCGGAAGTCAATGTATAATTATACACCTATTGTGCCATTAGGCGTAATGGGCCAACTCTATTTTCTGGCAATTTAAGGAGATAAGGGAAGCAAACAGGGCGTGGGGGGGGTGGGCAAAGGCAGATTGACAAAACAAAGAGTCCTACTCTCGAAAGGTCTGCGGCCGGGGATACAAGGGACCAAAGAGCCACTACCTACTCGACTCGAGGCTCTATTTACGTTGGGCACTTGAGCTCTCGAGGACGGACGAGGAGCCAGTGCTCGTATACTCAACAGGGGCGTTTGAGAAAAGAAGCTCGCGGTAATCCCGTGAATTGATTTGGTTGCGGCGGTAGGTCGCTCATCGAGCGGTCGAAAGACCATTGTGTTGGCGCATGGCGCATCACCCTCGTTCGTCGATTATTTACACACACCTCTCGATCGACAGATTTGGACAGGAAATAATCATGCCATTGCTCCGAAAAGCAGGAGCTCGTGGCAGCTAAATTATAACTAAATTACGCGGTGCATGTTATAGTTTTCCAAGCCCGTGGTGACACTCTTGTATTTTTTTTTTTTTTGCTCACCACTTCTAATCGACTTTATAAAGTGGAGTCAACCTTTTGCAGGGAAAACTTTGATGAATCAACATTATTTAGACGGACACACAATGTTTTTCTTAAAAATTGAAAAAACACCGACTGTGAAATATTTGTTTAACGCCCACAACGGCGATTGTCTCGTGCATTTAAATTCAGCAGTACCGTAAATTGCACACGTGCGAGAAACGGGCATATAGGTAAAATACGTGAAATGTCAGTGTCGCGACAGCGAATGCGGGAAAACGTCGCCGCAAAGCAGACCAAAAGTGGGCGGGCGTCACAGGGCGATTGGCTGCAAGGGCAAACAAAACATGGGGGCGCGCGCGTGTACGGTGACACACATACTTCATTCGGCCCGAGTCTTTGCGCGATGATTGCTCCCTGGTGCGCGCTCGGGATTGTCCATTAAAGTTTCGAACAAGTTCGAGCGAGCTTAACTTTGCCCCTCTTTTGCCCGCAGAGACGAGAGGTACGTAGGTATAGGTAGGTGTGTGGGGTAAGTATCTTCACTCGGCGGCAGCAAGCTGCTACTTACTTCCGCCTTCTCCTCCCCAACAACTACTTCTTCTTCCATCGTCTTATCCTCGCGGCTCTTTCTTCCGGATTTTATCTTCTTCTCGCTCGCGCGTCTTCTCTCTGCTGCTCCCCCAAGTTGGGCATTTCTTTCTTTGATTGTTTATTTTTCGGGGCCAACTCGGAATGCCCACTTGGGACTGGTGCGACGCTGTTTTCGCGTGTCAATTGCCATTTAATTTTCAGAGTTGCACGTTTTTCACGAAAAATGATCCGATCGGATCAAACACCTCAAACTGGCTTTCTCGTGCCAAAACGCACCCCTGGCCAGCTCTACGAGACCCAATAAAACAACAATTACTATACACCACTGTATACCTATAGCTGTAGTAGCAATCGATTGGGTACTGCAGGTGCAAGTTTTTCACGAAAAATCCTCAACCTCCCTTTCAATGTTCCTCTCCCAGTGTAAAATCAGTATAGACTCTGCAGTCGTTGGAGCGCCACGCTAAAACTCCGAGAGGCGACAGAATCGAGGGGGGATGGACCATGGGGTTGGGCGGGGCATTCCATGTCTGAGTAACGTTACACCTTGGAGCCCGGGGCTCCGGCGCTTCGTACCTCGTGGTGGGTGCCCCGACACGGACGAGCGACGAGAGACAGGACTCCATTTGCGGTTTAGCATAATGGTAACCCGAGGAGAAAGAGCCTCGTGCATGGCGCCCGGGGCCCAGCGGCGGCTCTCTCAACTTGTCCTCTTTTATTTTTCAGCTGAACCCACTTTCGCCGCCGTATTTTTTTCTTTTTTTTACTTCTCAGACACGCGTATAAATAAGTACACGCATATATACATATGTACGCGTGTAGTCCCCTACGGCGTATACTATAAATGTATAGGTGCTATCTTCTTGACGGTTCCAAAGTTGAAAACGCTGTTTTGGCGTGCGAATGTACTCCCCCCCCCCATTTTTTCAGCTAGGGGGTGTTTCTTACCACCTCTTTCATCGTCTCAGGATCAAAGTTTTCACGTGCGCTCTGCTTTGGGGAAGAATCGATAAAAGTAGGGGGCTCTCGGTGACTTTTTTTTTTTTGTTCTCTTTGTGTATGAATTTATTGTTAAAGTGTTCATTCGAGAGGAGTCGAGTTACCACTATCGCGTCCATCGTGCGATTGCAAAGCTAAACACTTATTTGCCACGCCGGGGATGAAGCGCCTCCGAACCTCGTCATTTTTACCACGGCGTTGAGGGGCAATTGGTTTTCTAGAGACCGAGTATAAGAACCGAGAAATGAACGCTCCTCGCTGTACACTTTCTCTTGTCGCGGCCGTTATACTTAATATGCCTTTGCAATCAAGTAGGTCTTACAGCCTCGTTAACATTTCATTCATTCTTCTTAGCACCGGAGCATCGTCTCGGTGTACAGGCGAGATAGTCGAATTAGGGCCTACCTGGGGTGGATCCCCGGATTAACGGAGGAGCCAACTATAGGAGGGCCTCGGGTGATGAAATACGCGGGACAAGAGAGAAGTGAGCCGGTGAGTGAAACGATTGAAAGCCATAGAAGGGTGTACTTTGAGATGAACATTTTCTTGCTGGCTGCACGAACGTCGAATGGTGTAAATTTTTTTTTTTTTTTTTTTTTTTTTTCTTAACATGGAAATTCCCCACAGGCTGCGCTGTACCCGATCACTTTGGTTTTTAATGAGCTTATTTCTAAATGGTTCACCTGTTCATTCAGTATCACCTCTCAATTTCATGGGCGCAGTCGCTAGCTTAAAAATTACAGGCAAAGCCAATAAGTTGGAAAATTGAAGGATTTCCTTTAAAGGCTTTGTGGTGAATATGGGTAATCATTAGGAATTCTCATGTTCTCATTTCTCTTTTTTTGCATTATTTGTTTTTTAACAGCACATGATATTCATTTACATTAAATTAAAAAAATTATCATCATCATCAATAAATACATATTGTCACGATTGTCTGTTGCAGGTAGATGCTGGTGATGAGGGGCGTCAGCTAGAAGAACCTCCGAGCCGTGCAGCGGAGGGACAGGAGGAGTGTCCGTAACAACGTGTGGAGGACGGAAAAATGCCGTCCGCCGGGATCGCCGGTCCGTCGGTGGTGTTGCTGCTACTGCTGATTCTAGCTGTAGTTGGTGGCAGTCGCGCTTTCAGCTCTCGCTCCCCAGGTAATTGACAACTTTTTCTTTCTTTTTCCTCAAACCAAATATATATATATATATATATATATATGTATGTAAGTNTATATATATATCAAATAATACATATATACACAGGTAGAATAATCCGCTCGAGGCATGTCGAGGACTTGCCTTACTTTGCAAAATAGTATTTTATTTTTTAATATTTTTTTTTTCCTATGCCTTCTTTGCTTGCTCCCCGTCTGAACAGCGACTGTTGAGATAAGACTGCCATGTTGCGATCGATGATGTTAAGTAGCCGTGTACAGGTAGTGTTTTTTACTGTAATAATGTCTTTCGGCAAGAAAACTGGGATCAGTTGGAAGAGCGCCTCAAAACACCTGCAACATTACCACTTGGGGGAGGGAGATAAAAAATTAAACCATGCCTAAACAAAGTGTGGAGTTATCATGAAAAAATGTTTACTGTTCCTCCAATGTTGTGGTGTCAATTGAATTTGGTGTAAGTAATCCCACGAGCCATCAGGAGAGTTTGCCTCACAAACAAAATGATATAAAGCACTGTCAAAGAAAGGGATTCCTCTGACCGCGGCCCAGAACGTGGCTACTCAATGACGGAGCCCTACCTACAAGTAAACAAAATTAATCTTCCGCGGTAGTTCTATGTAATAACGTAACATAAAAATATTAAGCTTGGTCGCGGAGCAAATGAGAGCACGTACTTACCTATACCTATCTGATAGAACTTTAATGTCGAGCTCGCGTGACAGAGAGCAATGTGCTCGAGTGTGACTGACTTGACCCCTTGCACGTACCCACGTGTATATATATGTATAAATATACATGTATCCATGCCTACTACACCAGCGCGCAAGTGGGTGTTTTTGCGAAGGGGATGAGACGCGGCCGTGGCGGTGATATGCATGGTATCGCTACCGCGTGTCAAATTCATTGTTTGGAGTCTTGCGCACAATAGTCCTCGTGTACCTACGTACTTTAATCGGCTCAACAGATGCCCCGCGGCAGCTTTTGATCGGCGGAAGCCTCTGGCGATTCTTGTTAAAGGAGACTGAGCATCGGGTTCGGGAGCTCCTCTCTTTGCAGCTCTTGCCTGTTTCAACCTTCATAAAAAGTCACTGCAAGACACAGAATGAGAACCCAAAGTTGTTCTTATTCCTCGTTTCATAGTAAAACATGACCATACAGTTATACGTACAAGTTAATAATTACAATGAGCTAATTATAAACATAATGATAATAAACCATGTGATATTTTTTTGGTGGCAATATCAATACTTCAACTATCTTAGGCTTGTTATTTGTCTCATTCTCTCAACATAATGGGTGGTACCATCAAATTGTAAATGTATGACTATATTTATATACTATGTGTGTACGTGTATGATAGACAAATCGCTGCCCACAAGAACATTATGCATTCATATACTTATGTGCCTGAGTGTACGTGTAAGTTAAAATTTTTTCGTTTAATACGCACATCCTCTTATCTCTTTGAGCACCGGCTTACACGAACCACTTTTGTTCGAGATTTATATCAATTTAAATTCTTTCTTTCAAAGCTCTTTTAAATGGATGCGTCATTTTGAGTCATTAAATTCTATCGCCGTAGACATTGTGCGATAAAAAAAAATAATACACTTGTCATCATTTTCATAAAACTAATAATAATAATTTTAATAACAAATTAAAAACATCAACAGCAATAATAAACCTGATTTTCCATTACACATTAAAATATCAAAAATATCCCGAGAGTGTCATATTACGCGATTATAACATAACTTACTTATCGTGCTCAGGTGCAGGTACTTGAAAGGATTTCCAGCTCTCAATTCGAACATTCTAAAGTTAGAGAGCATCTAATAATACCAGTGTATAAAAAAAAGATTATTAAGTAAACTTTATCGTCCGCCTTGACGGAATTCTTACGGAGCAATCTAATATGGCTCGTTTTATAAGAAATTTGCTTTCTTACCTAACAAAACTGCAACCTATTGCTAGAATAAATATAACACATATACTATATTTGTATACTTGTTGTGGAGGCATACAGCAGATCTACATCTTGATGCTAAAAGAATGAAGTTTCAAAACGTGTTCTCTACATTTCGAGTTCCCTGTATTTCCTGCAAATACAAAGTATTGTTTGAAATGGGATGGAGACAAAAGAAACTTTGAGAAAAAATTAAAAGGAAATCGACGAAAAATATCGAACGGAAAATAATGGTTTGAGAAAGAAAATAACGAGAGTGAGGAGAAATGCACTTGTGACGAGACAGAAGCTGGGATAACAGATAAAGTCAGGGTAAATAAGAGAAGATGCGTCTCTCGGTACAGTGTGGTATCTACTGATAATCACAAACAAGTAATTCTCGATATCGATGTTGGCAAGGGCAAAAAAAAAAAGATCCTTCGCTTATGGATGTGCTTCCCAAGTAAACTATTGGAAAAGCAGTGCTTATAGAAACAAGTTATTTTTTGTCTTTTTTTCTTTCTTTCTTTGTTCGGCTAAACGGTATAAGGAACCTAGTGATGACATTATTCAACTATTGGTTGAGAATAATAATCAGTTTTGAAAATTGCTCCCATGAATAAATTGAGATTTACACTATACCGAAACAGAGTACTAAAGTTAACTGGCAAAGAAGAAAAAACCACTTGAAATGTTTATTCAACGAATGCTATGGTTCGATTTCGAAGCAGAGATCGGGATAGGGTGTTTTTCTTGAAATTTTATAATTTTAGCTCTGCGTTTTTATTTTTATCAGCAAAATAAACTCAATGTATTATTTTTGCTCCACCAGTAAGAATCACGCTTAATTAGCACAACGAAAACACTCCGAGATGGCATATTTTTCTCGGACACTGTACGTGAATTTATTATTATTATTATTTTTTTTTAATGAAAATCTCAACCTCTTTGTCCATGATTAGTGGTACGCCAGAGATTTTTGACTAGCTTAGTTTTCATCTCAAGCAAATTGCCCAATGCTCAAGGAAAAAACCAACAACTTCTTTGGGTCCTATCAATTAGCAGATTGTCAATAGTTTGGTTACAGGCGAACACGGAACATGAAAAGCACAGGACAGCTGTAAGTGATAAGTAAAAAGAATTATGTTTATTATTCAGAGTAATCAGAAGTTATGGTGAGAGCTATCATCGGGATCATTCGAAGTCGAGGTCACCCGGTACAGGCGAGTACAGGTACACCAGGTGCTAGGAGAACAAAGGGTCGACTTCCTTCTCCTTCACTCGAGCCCCGCGTACCTAACCAGCAAGAGCAGACAAACGCGAGTTGCGCATAGTTAGCGCTGGCGCGGTGGTTGCAGTTAGCCCGGGCATTCCCATGAGCGACGGATGTAATTAATCTGTTTTTCTTTCCCAATGTTTGGAGGTCCAGGTACCACCGCCACCACCACCACCACCGCTGCAGCACCAAAATAATATTGCTAACGTTATAGGTGCTCATTGAACTCTGTTCGCCAGAAGCTTGCTCGTGAAAGCACCGCGAGTCCATTCCTTTAATTTAGCCCATGGCCGCACGGTTTGCACCCCGACACGATGTGAATTATTGTTGGACGTGGCTGCAAGCACGACATATATATAAAGATCATATGCGTTAAGTTTAACTTGCTCGAGCTTATTGTTTTTCAACGCGCCCAACCAACGACTAATCTTGGCGTCGAAGATGCAGCAAAAAAAAGTGTTCCTCGAGATTAATCGAGTACTTCTTTTCTCGACGGGTCGGGAGGCTTTCCAAAAATGTGGGCCAACGCCAGACAGAAATAAACACCCGACAGATCCGAGCCAATCGAAAAAACAATAAGCCAGTCTCCCCGCGCGCATCCTTAAAAGAGGCGTTCATACGTACAATATATACCGAATGATGGGCAGTATACTTATTATGTACCTACGTGTGTTTAGGTATATACAATAAAGTCTCGAATAAACCTGCGAGAACATAAATTTATATATATATATATTATATAGTTACGTGCGTACTCTGCGGGTGTTTCTAAAATGAGCAGTGCCGAGGTCGAAAACGGGGGATACGTTGCGGTAGGGGAGGACGAGAAGAGGGGAAAAAGAAATAGAAAGTTAATCCGAAAGGATTAGGCAACTTTTAGCGTCATAAGGCTGGAATTAAAAGTTAAAAATATTCATCCTCCGGGATTAAAAGCAGGCCAACGTTCGTTGTCAGGAAAAACAAAGCAGTAGCAGCTGCCAACCGATGTACACGTACATATATGTATAAATGCGATGAGCTCATCAATTATCGAGACTATTTTTACAATAACGAATCGTCTGGATTAAATTAAATTTCGGTGACGTGCATGCGTCTTGTACAATTGTACACCTATATGCACGTTGTGTGACTCTGAAATGGGTTTTTATATAATTGGTACAACATCAATATTGAAATGACGGTGATTAGTTTATTGGTCCCGTTGAATCGTACCGCGACGAGTATACTTATTCGGGATGTTATTTTCAACAAAGCATTTCAATTCGATGAGATTTTTCGTTTCAATTGTTATTTTTAACAAAGATTAGAGCAGTGAGGGGCCATTTTTTCAGCTGCAATTAAAGGGAAATCGGTGAAAGGTACTCCCAAAGAGCACTGGTTTCCAAAGAGTGGAGAGAGAGAGAGAGGGGGGGGGGTCGAAGTAGTTGCGAGTCAAATTCCGTTTGCGGAATGACGGTCGAATGGAAAGCTTTGCCCGTCGGGTCCGTGACTGTATATATACGTGGCCTCTACGGTCGGGGGAGCCGAACGGAGAGACAAATGGTCTCGCATACTTAGCGAGTACTTGACTGTAACAAACTGCAGTCCCGATGGCTCGCCTCCCCCGAAGCAGAGGTCCGCCCCGACTATAGCTGTCCCGCTTCTACCCTCACTCTCTCTCTCTCTCATGCTTTTCGCGAAAAATAGGACGTCCAAGGAGCAGAGAGAAAAGAAAGAAATGGAGTAGATGCTGGTTGGAATTTTGGACCTTCTCCGGAAA